GCCGCCTCCGACCGCCCGGAACGGCACGGCGAGGCCCGGAACGGCCCGGCACAGAACGGAGCGGGGCCCGGCGCGCAGGCGCCGCCACCGCCGGGGCGGAGCAGCCGGGACCTGCCGCGCCGCGCAAGTCCCGCCTGGGCCGGGGGCTCCTCCTGGCTGCCGCGCTGGCTCCTGACAGCTCTGCCCGCGCGGCTGAGGTTTTGCCTCTAAACCGCCTTCTCTTTCTCTCCTTTTTTCCCCCATTTCTCCCCCCCTTTTTTTTTTCTTTTTTCCCCCCCTTTTCCTTTTTTCCCCCCCTCCTTTCAGGTTGATGTGCGCGGGGGAAGCGCCGCTCTCCGCGGCCGCTCCGCGCTGAGGCACCGGAGGCGCCGCTGGCGCTCGGAGCCGGCGCCGTTAGCGTGACCCGGACGGGCCGCGCGCGGGGCCGGCAGCGGCGCCCTCGGGGCAGCGCCCGGAGCGGCCCGGGCGCAGGGCTGACCTTCCCCAGGCGCATCCCGGCCGGAGTTTCGCAGCCACCCCCTGCCCTTGGGGCTCCTCCTGCGAGCCCGGCCTTAACCAGCTCCGCGGTGAGCGCGCGGGTACGTGGGCATGTGCCGAAACGCCCGCACGGAGCGGGCTCTGCCGTCGGAAAGATGCGTTACGCGCTTTGCCTAAGGATACATAACATGCAAGGAAGCCGCGGGAGTTAAAAAAACACTTTAGTAGTTACAGCCGATGTGCATGCCTAGGCTGGAGCCAATGGCTTATCGCTTTTATGTTTAACAAGCCGAAATGCAAGTTTTGGCCTCCTTTTTTTTTTTTTTTTTTTTTTTTTTTTTTTTTTTTTTTTTTTTTTTTTTTTTTTTTTTTTTTTTTTTTTTTTTTTTTAAGGCAATTGTTTACCTGCTGAAATGATCCTGTTTTAGTTCTGGCTAGTCACAGCAGGTGGCAGTGTGTGCAAGACAATTTAATGCTCTTGCATTAAAATCCGAGAGAGACCTAAAATAAAACGTGGGCACTTAAACACCAGACAGTGCTGGAAGCAGGGTGGGAGAGCAGGGAACCGGCACGTGCTGCTGTTGGCAACGGCCTGCAATGTTCAGGGGCTGTGTGTGTTTGGAAGGCCAAAGCTATGGGAGCCTCCGAAGAACATCTGCTGGAAACCTGTGTGGAGGGATTTGCGGTGAGCTGTACCCGTCTGATGCTTCAGGCCCCTCAGTGAAAATGGGAAAAGATCCCAGGCTGTTTATTTTCCTTTATCTATCTGTTTTCCAAGTTGCTTACGCAGCAGAAGCACTGGCAGGAAGGTACCATAATTTCATACCAAATAACACCTGGGTGTGAGTTTTGTTATGATTCCTGTGGTAGAATAGGCCATCTTGCATAAATAATGGTAACTTACTCATTACAGCTGTGTTACACAAAGGCCTCAGAAAGGGCAGATGATGGCCAGATATCACCTGGATCTGGAGAGGTGAAGGCTCCAGCCTTGCGGCTTCTATCCATTGATCTGAACGGGAGCCAGTGCTGGCTGTGGAGCCCGGATGCTGTGTCTGTGTCAGCACCGCTGCGGACAGAGGGGATCCAGCGGGATGTGGAGCGGCCGTCGAGTCATTGCAGCTCCGTGAGGCCCATGAGGTGACGGCCGCTGCTGCTGTAGCCCCGTGTCACACACCTGGTGTCTCCGGCAGTACCCGGCTTTGGGAGCAGCACAGTGTGTTTTGTGGAAAAATAACGGGTCCTCCTTGTCTGCTGAGAGTTTAGAAAACAAACAAACAAACAAACAGCACCCGGAGGGCACAGATGGGCACGGTGGCGGTTTCTCATTCGGCCACAATGAAGAGGTGGGTCCTCCCCAGCTGTCCCAGACAGGCCATCAGTGGGGCTGAACTACCTGAGCTGCTCGATTCCAGTAACACCTGAATGTTGGTGCTGAGGGGAGGGATTGATCTGATCTAACCGGGGTATTTGGAAGAGAAAGAGCAGACGCTCCAAATAAGCACAGATGGATAAGAAAAAGCACAAAGGGAATGAAAGCACAGGTATCGCCAGAGGAGTCTCTATAATTCCGTACTGAAAAGAAACCTGAGAGAAATTGTAGGTAAAATTACTGCAGAAAGAGATACAGAGCTGTCAACAAAATTATTTCCCATTGTGTGGTGTTTGATGTTCAAGGAGAACAGAATTTATACATTTAATCAATCCTGTTTATTTACAAAGATAGATCTGAACCTACTATCTGTTTCTTCTAAAAGATGCTCACAAGAGCCCCATTTTGTTCATGTTAAAAGAGAAAACAGATTAACTGTAGAAAATAAATTTGCTTTCGAACGCTAGATTGGTGCCTTGTGGATGAGTGTAGCTGAATAAGCAAACTATCGCAGAGAGAAAGACTCCATGGGAAATTTAAACATATAATAATCATATTTAACGTCATTTTTTTCTGTGAAAGAGCCAAAAATGTTCAGCTGATAATTTCAGATGCCTTGATCAAACGGGACTATAGTAACACACTGAAAAATCATTGCCTAGAGAGGATGGCTTTGCTTTTAATACCTTGAACAAGACTAGATGAAACATCTTTTTTCATCCCTTTTTGAAAACTGTTAAAGCTGACCGCCTGGAATTTGTTTTTGCACGCAGAACTGCTTCCTTTGGTGCCTGCTGGGTTTTGCCAAAGCCCTTCCCTGTGTCGTCATCGCAGCTGCCTTGGGAACACTAGCTGTGGTAGAAGAGACCCAGCAACAGGTGCCGTTTTGATCTGGAAATTGTGTAAGAAGGTGAAATTGCCCTCACACAGGTTTTAAAATTTACAATCGGATTAGTATTTTATTTCTTCCAGTTGTGGTGCTTGGGAGTCGAGCCATCGTATATTATGGACTTTATAACCTGTCGATGCAGACAGTCCAGGAACCCCAGAATCACAGCTAGAAATAAAATGGCTGCTATTGCTCGGTCTGATTTTTCCATAAGCTGCACAGAGGTCATGTATTAGGTGTAATTTTCAGCACTGTATGGCACAGGACACGCTGAAATTCATGCTCTGTGTTTATTCCTGTCATTCCTGTGCCTTTTGGTGGTCCATTAACTTCATTGGGAGTAGGACTTGTTCCAGTCTTCACAACTGTGTGGTTTGCTATCACCGAGTCTTGCTCCTGTGTGCTTTCCCCAGGCTGCAAGGCCCTTCCTGGCTGGAATGGTGTAGCTGGTATGGTGTTTTGCTGCAGAAGAAAAGGAACCCTTCTTATAGCTCTTTGTTACATGACCTCAGGTCCAGCGTGAGATCCAGACGCAGGACCTGAGCGATGTGATCTGCTGCATCAACCTGTTAAGTAGAATGAGAGGTTTGACATTACAGAACACAAGAGCTGATGTGTGTCTGCATTTGTCTTGGTCATATCAGTGAGTTCACCAGCTTGGCTTGTTGGTGTTGAGAGCATGCAACAAGATTGCGTGGAAACCAGGATAAAGCAGGAGTAAAAGGGCAAGCCCTGGAAGGGCTGGGAAAGGAGCAGCAGCTGCCTGAAAATTCTCTCCCACGTGAAGGCCCTTTTGTCAATGGCTGAAGTGCTTGTGCTTTTCTTAATTTTCAGAGAATGGTAATAGTTGAGTAAGACAGAAGATGTGCTGACTTTAAAATACATTGGAAGCAGCCTGTTTTTGTTCCTGCTGCTGATATTAAATAACATGTTTTGTTCTGAAAAAAAAGTTAGTGTGAAAGGAGAAGTTGGGTCACCTCAGCTTTGTTTGAGAAGCTGGTTTCCCTTCAATCCATTTTATTGTGCCAGACCATTGTAAAAAGTGATGTGTTACTGAAAATTAGGCCTAAGATCAACAAATGTCGTAGAAACTGGCACAAAAAAAAAAAAAAACCCAAACCAGGTAACTGACATACCACTATTGACCACAGAGCAGTATGAAGGTCATCAGCAGTTCTTTGCACATAAGCATATTTGTAATGCATGCTTTTATTTCAGGGTGCAATAGATGTATGTTTTAGAAGTATTGAATAGGAGGATGGTAAAGTGCGTGGTAGTCCCCTTTATTCGTTGGAACAAGAGCAGCAGCAAGTAGAGAAATGTAACTGTTAACCAATAACAGCAGCATATTTGACTTCACTCAGCCCGAAATTGCTGTTCCTGTAATGGTTAACTGCCCTGTTGTAACTCACAGCAGGGGAGCGAGTTCCCATCAGAGGAGGTAAGATAAAAGGAAAGGAAAAATTCCTGCCATGACATGTGTTGAAATCTGTTTAGAAAAATGATGATTATCACACATTAAACCATTCCAGGTAGGAACATCCAGAGCAGCTTTGGCCATACAAGAAGCATTGGGGAAAACGGACTGTTCAGTTTTACTTCAGTGCATTTTCCAATCATTTGCTGTGAGGTTTGGCCACCCAAGGTGTGGCAAGGGTCCAGTGCAGGGAAAGCCTTTGTGTCTCGTTATGCAGCTTTCTGGACAGAGCAAAGCAGACAGCATTCGAAAGTAGGGCTGGGAGTCATATTTTGACCGTGGCTAACTATTTTCAAGAAGAAGAAAACTGATTTATAGTCAGAATTTGTTCAGATAAGTGAAAAACTTATCTGTTTGTTATGTAAGCTCCTAAGATGCATGCAAGTTTGATTTTTATATTTTTTAATAGTCGGAGCAGATGAAATATACTTTGGTGGGCAGTATCCAGAATTACTTCCTATACTTCGGAGAATCTAGAGATCATCTTTGGCTGAAAATGATTGGGGAAAATGCCGTGTCAAGTGGATCATTTGCTCACCAATAGTTTAAGGTGAATTGTGTCAGGCTGACACAATCGTCTGTTTCTCAGAGACATGTATGGGAGTCTGATGATCATGGTAGAAATTACATGTAGTCCTTAAAATGCTAATTGCTTTATTATATATGTTATATAATATAAACTATGTCAAAATATGGGAAGTATTTGATTTACCCACAGAAGAATGCAAAACTAACCTAATTTGACTTTATGTTCTTTGAAGGTTTGAATCACATTTAATATATTTCTACTATTTTCTGTTTTTCTGTTTTTATTTTTTATTTTTTTTGTAAAAAATAAAATGATATCCAGGGATATCCTTGTGCTTTTAGTTCATGGTGTATTTTGAATTTGAACTTGCTTTAGGGGAGCAAGTCACCTCTGAATCTGCTCAGCTGAGGTTGCCTGAGGGAACTGCATGCCTGGCTCAGCTCTGCAGCTGGGACACCAGCTCTTGCAATATATCCCAGAGCCGTAAGAGAGCAAGATGTATCGGACTTGGAAAAGCTTTATTTACTGCTTCAGGGATACTGATAACAGTGAATTCAGCGAGATACCGGCGTTATGAAGCTCAGCTTTGCGTTAGCCTCCAGTTATGACGGTTCGGATAGTCTGAAGGGGGCGAGCACCCTCAGTGGCCATTGCCCCCTGCTCACGGCGGCGCGACCCTGCTTTGCCCCTTCCCGCCACCATGTCGGATCCCATCCTGGTCCTGGCCCCCCCTGGGTCACCATGGCAACGGCGGGACCAAACGGCGCCTGGCTGGCCCTGGGAGCCCCAGCGGGGTCGGGCTGGTGGACGAGGAGCTGCTGGGGTTGGGGCGGGAAGGCGAGCGAGTCTCGCTCCGCTCCTGGCTCAGGTGCGGGCTCCCCGCGCCGCTTCCCGCAGGGCCCTGTGCCGCTCTCCCGGCCGCTGGGCCCTGCTCTGCTCTCCTTCCTTCCCCAGCAGCGGCCTGGTGAATAATTGAGCAGCGCTGGTGCTGGCCGGGCCGAGGCTGCCCGCGAGGTCCTGCTTGGCTGGGCAGGGGCAGGCGGCGCCGCAGTGGGATAAGGTTTCCAGAGGAAACCAGCGGCGGGAGAGGCAGGCTGCCTTCCCCATGGCAAAGCCCGAGGATAAGGAGTTTACGGGGAGCTTATGGGTGTGCTGCGGTTGCCGTCGCCTGTGGCTGCTGGCTGCTCTCCCCCATGCCATGCTTTTCGGCGTGGGTCGGCCGCGCTAACGTGCCCGCGCAGCCGGGAGCGCCGCGGCCAGGTTGCCAAGGAGGAGCCTCCAGGGAGGCTGAGCAGCGCCCTGGGGGAAGCCCTGGGGAGGCTGAGATCCCTCCCCGCTGCCGCCGGCTCCCTCCTTTCCCGGCTGGAGGTGGGCCCTGGTGCGGAGGCGCTGCCGTGGGTGTTGATGCCGCATGCGGGTGGGCAGTGGCCGAGTGGAGGCGAGAGGGGCGCTCAGGCGGGAACCTTCTCCCGAACAGGCCGGTGCCGGCGCAGCGAGGAGGAGGCCGGAGGGCGCCGAGCATGAGCGGCGCTGGCGCCAAGGGCTCGTGCCTCTCGCAGCCCACGGTGAAGAGCGTGCTGGTGTACCGCAATGGGGACCCCTTCTTCCCGGGACGCCGCATCGTCGTCCACGAGAAGAAGGTGTCCAACTTCGAGGTCTTCCTGAAGGAGGTGACAGGCGGCGTGAAGGCGCCCTTTGGAGCCGTGCGTAACATCTACACGCCCCGCGGCGGGCACCGCATCCGGCAGCTGCAGGAGCTTCAGAGCGGCGAGCAGTATGTGGCCGGCGGCAGAGAAGCCTTCAAGAAGCTCAAGTGAGTCGCTTAAAGAGTAACAGAAATAAACGGAACCCGAGGGTCGGGATTTGCAGAGTACTTTTGCCAAGGCAAAGGGAAAAAAAAATGGAAAAAATAAGAAGAAGGAATAGCCATAGAAAGGCTGTCATTGCCCTCTGTTGTGTAGTGCCAGCTCCTTGACGTGGCTCTGTGGGGGAGAAGCAGCCCTTTAACCCCAAGGCCCTACCATACGTGTGGCGACGCTGCGTGTGCTGCTTAACTGAGGGGCAGGTGTCCGTATGCAGGGCTGTTTGGGAGAAAGCCCCAGGAAAGGGGAGTGCTGACAGGGCCAGCGAGCCTGGGGATTTAATTGCCAGCAGTTCCTGTCTTGGTTATTTTAGAAAAATCTGTCATATTCAACCAGCTCTCTGGTTTCCATCCCTTCTGTTCGTTTCAGGTAGGTATGCAGGCTTTTTAAGAGCACAGTCACTGGGTCCCTTCTGTTAATTAAAAGATGACAAATTACTTTCTTTTCCCTGCCCTGACACCAAGAAATACACTGAAGCTCTCATTTTTCCAGGGAGTGACTGGGAAAATGCTGTGGAGGTTTGGACTGTTGTGTTTGCTTCCCCAGCGCCCGTAAACATGATTCTTAGTTTTGGCAGTGAATTCCACTGTCCAGATCGTCTTGTCACATATTTCACTTGGTCTTTGTCATGCCTTTTTTTTTTTTTCCTGTAACATATTAAAAAAAAAAAATCTCAAACTAGGAATTCCTTTCTGTGTGCAGCTGAAACCCCACCATGATCAAACCTCCCTCCTTTTAATCATGTCAAGTCTACATTTTCCAGGCTGAAATTCTCAGAATAATGAGCAGGATCTCTACCAGCAATCTTTCCACTTTTGTCACAATCTGTTCCTAAAGATTTATTGAAGTGTCTCACACTTAAGTGGCAAAGCTGGGAGAAGGATGGCAGGATAAATATAACCCCCTTTCTGTATTCTCTTCCGTGTCAAATGTATTACTCAACTTCCAAGAAAAATCTACTGTACCTTTTGTTATTAAATTCTCCAATTCTGTGAATACCTTAAAGTTGTTATATAACTATTAGCAAATCATGTTTCACCTCCATACATATGTTTTACGTTCACCACAAAGGCTAAAAGCTATTAAACATGTGGTTCTAGCGTGTCTCACATAAAGAATTGGAGACTCTGGATTTTTTGGGGGGTGAAAAAGGCTTTTTTTTGTTGTTGTTGTGATTTCATCAACACTTTTATGGTCATGAATATACAACAAGATACCTCAGAATTTGGAAGTCAATAAAGAGAATACTTAAAGAAATGGTGACCTAAAGCACCTGGTAAAAGCAGGCTATTTTAGGGAGGGGTAGGGGGAATGAACTGACTAACTCAAGACCTGTGGCATTTGTATATTCTGACTCATGATTCTCCTCTGTGTTTATGGACTGCTGTACACTTGGACAAGGGTTTTTTCAGCATTATTTTAAGACAGGCTGAAGGGTTTAATGTCGGTCATGTTCTTATCTCAGTCATAGATGGTATGCAGAGGGGAGATGAGGGAGACTTCTTGTCCAGAAAGGTCAGAAGAAAAGAGATGTCAACTAGAGAGTTTCTGGAAGGAACCGAGAGCAGAGAAGAGCAAGAGCAAAATGCCTGTGCTTGTGTATGTGTCACAGAAAAGGGCAGAGCAGTCAAGGGGAACCAGAGCTTCTGTCACAGAGGGGCTGACTCTGATCTTGGAGCACCACAAGATTTGTAGCTTCCTTACAGCTTTGCTGCAGTGATGCTTGTTGAGGATTGCAGTGATACTCTAGGTGAAGCTGGGGACGTGCTGGGGACGTGATGACTGGCAGTGTACGGGCACGGAGGGAGCTTTGAAGCAAAAGCGGAAACTGAGGGTGCCATCATTCCAGTTCAAGTAGTGCGTTTGTTTCTTCACAGACACCTTAGACTGAAAACTGAATCTTTTTATTCCCTGTAGGAAGAACTCCCTTGTAGGAGATGAACTTTAGTCATCCCAAGCCCTCAGTTTTAAAGGCAGGAGGTGTTTAATACTGAGTGTATGTAGGCAACATAAACAGCTGAAATGTTTAACTGAAAAAAATAAGAATTAGCATTTGAAAAATTCTGCTTTTAGAAAAATAAGCAGGAACTTTCTTTGAAAGAAGAATGAAGTCATTGGAACTTTTTGCAAAATAAAACAAGCTTCCTAGCTTGTTTTGTCTTTTATTAGCCTGCCAAGTGAGTACAAACTGATTTTGGCATGTGTATGTGCAGGGAGGTTTGAGATCTTGTAGTTCCTGCACTTATCAGTGATAGAGTTCTATGAAAACTGTAAAAGCTTAAGAAGTTTGTGGTATTGAAGGCAAAATTAATATTTTTTTTTCATCACACTTTCTTAAAGATAGCAACTTTTTCAGCGTGCTTACCCAGGATAAGTCTTTGGTCCTATTTGAACCTTTTAGATTTGTGGAAGATGTTCTCAAGTGAAGACCCAGATCTTTTTATAGGGAATTTAGACCTGTTACTGTAGATTTGCTTCTTCTTGGTCACTTTCCACAGTTCTCCTGACAATAATGCAGAGACACCTCCAGAGCAAGGACCTCCAGTCAACACTCAACCATACATCCTGCAGCCACTTACCTCCCTGGGCGTTTCTTTCTTTTCAGTTTTGCAGTCTGTAAGGCTTCTGTATTTTGGTTCCAGGAGAACTTGGTCCTCCTTGCATGGAGAAGCTGCAAAGGTGTTTGTTTGTTTGCCTGGGCCATTTGTGTGTTCCCCTTTGGCGTTTGGCAGGAGGTGCTGAAGGTGCCGCTCTGCAGAGATGTGAGTGCTCGTTAAGGAGCCTTCTCCAACAGCAGTGCAGATGTGGGAAGAAGAGCAGGCCTGGGCCCATCTCCAGCTGCTGAGAGCTGGTGTTCATGAGCAGACCCACTGACGCGGCAGCCAGTGGTGCTGGCTGACACTGTTGCATCTTAGCTGTGAAAAAACAGTTTTCAGGTGTGTCTGAGTCTTCTTGAAATGTACCTGTACATGGATCCTTTGAAAAAACAAGCCACTGCTCAGCATAGGTATGGAGGAAGGCTTTAAATGTGTTGGGGGAAACCAAGAGGCTGGATGATGACCTTGGAAACTCTGGTAAGTCGATGCTGTGCTGAGATTTATTCGTCAGCCTCGGTAGCTCGTCGGCTTCTCCCTGAGAACTGGGTCCCTGAGGGTCTGTTCCAGGCACCAGACACTTGAAGTCTCCCCCATCTTCTGTATGAGTCCAGAGGCCTGACTTACAGATGTGTAATACAATTATCCTCATTCACTAAAATCTTCAGTTAGGCATGATAAAATCTTAGTGAGACATGACACATTTTCCAAGCTTCAAGTGACAAAAAGAAAAAAAAAGGATAAAATATTCATATTGAGTAAATTACGTGCTATTATAAATAAGTAATACTGTTTTCCTTCCACAGCTATTTGGACATAGGAGAAACAAAGAAGAAACCTGTAGAGGTCAATAATGAGGTAAGATGTTTGAAATGTTTAAGGAATAAGCTTACTGTGAATAATACTGGCATCCCTGCATTTATGTCTGAAATTCTTGGGTTTTATGTTTATTATGTTCAAAAATAATAAAATTATCTAGTAGTCTGAACATAGTATTTCAATGATTATTACTCTGATGGTTCTGACATTGATGAACTGGTTGTTTTCATCTCAGCTTTCTAAATTACGATGTCCAGTGCTAAACTTTCCAAAAATAAAATCTTGTGTTGTTGTCATTGGGGATATTCATAAACCTAAGGTTTTTTTTTTTTCATGCAGGAAAAAAAAAAAAAGTGATGGAAATGTAGAACATGATTTTCAATGGAGAACTTTGTCCATAAACATTCAAATTTATGTTTCAGAAAACCTAATGTCTGCATTTGTGTGGGACATACGACATTATTTTTACAATTTTATTCTGTATATAAATAGATCTGATTATGGGCAAAGTTTGCATTACAGCTTCTGCCTGGACCTCGCAGTTTTTCCCTTCCCTCTGGTTCGTACTTTCATGCCATATTTCTAGCAATTTAATAGTTTGTGCAATAGTGTCTTTGGATGCAGGCATATTAAAATACCCTCAAAACTGAACAGGCCGAGTGCCATAATGACATTTGATGCTGCTATCTATTTATTCAGAGGTTATAAGATATGACTCAAGAAGTAGCTGCTAAAGTTGTTCATAACTTTGTAATATGTATTTTTTTAATGAGCACCATCAACAGGCAGACCAAACCCAACAGGAATTCTGAGATTTAATTTGCTATTGCATGCATGAACTGAGCTTGCTGTAAAATTGATTTTTTGCTTATGTAGGTATTCATCTGACTAGAACATTGGAGGAGGTAGTTTGGTGTAGCCATTCATGTCTGTTGTTTTGACGCTTTCTTTTCACAAGGGAAAGAAAATAATTAAAAAAAAAAAGAAATTAAACCCTGATAAGGCAGCAGCCTTATACTCGATTCCCGAGGTGTGTATAAAATGGAGCAACATACTTACACATATGTGAAAATCTCCAGCTGTCGAAGTTTTCCTATATTGCCTTTTATCCCTAAATTCAATTTTTGTCCTTCAGGATTTTCTTATTCTGGTTCTGATTGTGTTCAGATCTGAATTTGTAAATCTAGCTGATACTAGTTACAAAGATGTTGCAAAGTGAGCAGAGATTTGAATAATTCATCTCAGCTTGAACTGTGATCCACGTAAGAGATAATAATTACTTCTGAGATGAGAGGTTTGTATACATGCACTGTTCCACTTAGCTGAACTTAGCACTTTTAAAGCAGAATTCTGAACAACAACCACATTGGTCTTTATGATTTTTCTGAACCCCTGGATATGCAGGTTGCATTGTATTTTATGCTAAAGCAATGTCTTGGTTAAAAGGAAAGTGATTCTTGCATATCCAGAAAGAGGAAAAGGGATCATGGAAAAATTGTTTCTGATTCTCTCTGAAAATACAGTGGATTGCACTCACTGTGCTGTGCAATTTCCATTAACAAAGTTGTGCAGTGGGACTAATTCCATATAAGCTTTGCTGAAAGGATGGTTCTCTTCATGGTAGGCTCCTAACCAAATATTCCCTGCTGATATCGATTGCTGGTGCTTGCTACTTAGAGCACAGTTTCAAGGGAGCTCCTGGGGCGGCCCCCTGCCCATGGCCCCGGCCCCTAAGCGTGAACTGCCCTTCCTCTGAGTGTGACCCTGAGAAGGGGCGACCACAGAGGGAAGGGGCTCGTGCCCCGGTGCTCCGTAGGGCTGGCGGCGCTCAGAATTCAGCAGGGGCTTCTCCTTGGCCAGGGATGGAGGTGCTCTTGGGGCTGCTAGCTCTGGCTTGCCCTAGGCCAAGCCCTGGGCACATGTGGATCCTGCGTTGGCTGTGGCAACAGTGATTTTGATGTTCTGTGCTCCGTAGTGCTGTTCAACAAGGATCTGGTGGCTTGAAACAGCATGGTAACAATATCTGAAAAAGTCATGCCAAGGGTTAAAGATATCATACTTAAGCACAAGGCGAGGAATGCTGGATTTATGAAGTACTCTTCCTACTTGGGCATTTCCAACTGCTGAGGGTTTCTCCATGTTAAGTTTCTTACCAGGATGACAATTGCAAATGCCTATTTCTGTGTCTGATTAATGAAGAGAGAGGCAAAAGGAAGAAAAACACACTCCGCAGCTGTCTGTAGGTATATTGTGCATCTCATGCAGCAGTAGCTTTTCCTTTGTATTAGTTAAACTGCCAAATGTTTGACATCTGCTTTTGGGAGAACTTTCATGTTGTTCTTTGAATGTCTTCTCAATTACCTCAAATCTCCATATAACCAGAAGGCTGGTGTCAAATTAAAACAGGAAAGAATTCCTGTTGAAGATATGGTGTAAATATAGTGACCTACATTCAGAAAGAAGAGTAGATGAAAAAATACAAAGCCTGAGTTTCTTGTTCAACTCCTCTCACTTTTCTCATGGAGTGACAAAATGAAGTAAGTGATCATCAGATTTTTTTTTTCTCTTCTGTACCAAAATCTGTGTCTGTGAGTCTTACTTTGCAAGGAAATCTTCCTGAGCGAGAATTGAAGGGATAATTTTTTGTTTCATGGATTCTGAGGACTAGCCTAAAGTTCTTCTTTAACGTCCACGCTTGTAGGGTGACAGGATGTAACATTTGGGGAGAGAGCCTGTCCCTGGCAGAAGGGGTGCTCACTGTCTCTGTTGTGCCCTGCTTCAGGGTGAGCTGGGGCTGGGTGAATGCCCTGTTGCAGTGGGCCCGCGGGATGCACCCTGTCTTGCCCCACAGCCAGGGACTCGCAGTGCCCCACAGCCAGGGACTCGCAGCTGCTGAGACAGCAAGGAGGGCAGCCTGGTGGAAGCCTTCGTCAAGAGGCTCTTCATTTAAGTACACTGCTGAGTGCAGCAATGAACGTAATAGGTAATACGGTGTAATTCATTAAACTCTACACGTCTATTTAATGTGGAGGTGGAAACGCAAATGCTGTGATGGCTCTAAGAAAGGTCAGCAGTGGAGTAGTTTGGGAAGACACCTTACTTCTGGCTACAAAGACAGATTTACAGATGAAAACCTATAGCACTCAAATGCCATTGCAATGTCAGCAGTTGACTTTATGCTGCTCTGTCTCCAGCGAGAGATGGGTCTGGGGAAAGGGGTGATACCTGTGGCCCAAGAGGAGGGTCAGGGCACTTAAGTGGGGCAGTGTGAGCAAGCTTCCACTTCTGCTTTGCTCTAGTGTTTCAACTGCACGTAACAGCTTTCTTTTTTTCTTTAAAATACGGAGAGTTGTAAAAATAGTTGCAATATTGCAATAATAACAATGCTGCTATGAGCTTCCAAAGTGATTATAGTCTTGACCTGTGAGGCCTGACCATCAATTAGAATTTTGTCTGAAAAAGAAACTATTAGAAAAGCCTTTAGTCACTGTGCTACTCATCATAAATCATGAGGGTCTTGACCTAAATCATCTCACATAATATTTCTAGTAGTGTGACTAGTTTAAGACACTTTCTGGATTTTGAAGTCTAATAATTTACTGGTCTAAGGCCTCTAAGTGACTAAAATAAATGGGTCAAATATTGAGCTAATTGAAAACAGCTTTTAATGCACTTCATGGAAATCACTGGTGTACCCCAGCCACAGACTTGAACTAATACTCCATTTTTTAAAGTTTGTTTTGCAATATACTGCCCCAAAGTCCCTTATCTTCTAGGTGAAGTTTTCTATATGGAACATGTCCGTATAGATGGATGAGCAAGGGAGGACCACAATGACATCTTACTACTGCGTAGTTTCTGATAGCAACTATAGTTGGTTATATTGGTATAGTTTCTGATAGAAGAAAAGCAGGGGACAGTGATACCCAACATTTGCTAAATGTGTCTAAGCAGCCAGAGCTTCAGCAGTGTCTTAGTTTGCTGTTTGTGGTTCATTATTGTCAGTGCTCATTGGCTTTGGTAGACTTTGACCCATTCCTAGGGCAGTGAAGTAGGTGGGATGCTGCTTAATTTGCCAAAATGCCAGTGGTGGCTGCGGTGCCTCAACAGTCAGTGGATTTCAAGGACTATTTGATGCCTTGACACCTCCTCGATCCTTCTCAGAATGTCCTGCTTGTGCATGTGGTAAAGAGAACAGTAAGAGAAAGTGGACAACCGTGCATAAAAAAATAAGGGATTTTGGGAATCCTGGGAATCCCAGGAAAAATCTGCAAGGTCCTTGAGGTCTGAGAGCGCCTCTCTGTCCCTTCCTCCTGCAGCCTGTGCGGCTGCGCTCTGCAGCAGCAGCAGTTCTGGGGGAGCCCTTGGGCCTCACGCTGCGGCAGCCCCGCAGCGCGGGCAGGTTTATCTAGTCCAAGCTTTTTTCTGTCACGACAACGCTTGTCCCTTTCCCTTCGGTTCTGCGGCTCATCCCGGCAGAGGAGCAGCAGCGGGTCCCGCGCTGCGGCGCGGTGCTGGTCGAGGGCTGAGCAAGGAGGGCTGAGGCCCGCTACCCAGCAAGGGGATGGTTCTCCAGTGCCGGTTTTGTGCCTTCTGCTCCCAGCTAATGCCCCCAACTTGTCACATCCCTTTGTAGTGTGGACCTTGTGGGGGATGAGTGAGGGTGGGGAGTGAGGGAGGGATTTCCATCTGCTATCTTCTTTCAGCCAGAGGTAGCAGTAAGGATAAGAGAAGGCACTTGTCCCGAAAGCACGAGAGCCCTATGCCAGTTTCAGCCAACAGCAGCCAGGCTCCAGGCTGTTTTAAGCTCTTGGTAGACCCCTCACACTCTAAATACTTGTCTCCCTCTGTCTCTCTTTTTTTTTTTTTTTTAAATACTAATATTCCTTGATAGGGAAAGGAGTAAAAATATTTCATCCTGACTCAGGCTGATGTTTGGTACAAAATCCTCAGGTATATCTTTATCATATCTGTCTTTCACGTCTTTCGACAGCTGAGCTGCTTTCTTTGAAAAAGACAAGCTCCCCTTTATAGCGAAG